TGTGAAAGGTCTGATATTTTACTGCATTTTCAACAGTTCCAACCGTGAAAGTTTGATCTATGCGGTTTTGTCCAGCTCTTGCCGATGAAAGTTGAAACTCCAGTTGATCTGTTAAGTGGGTTCAGATTGATTTGCATTTGAACACTGTGGACAGTTTGGAGATTAGATAAATCGAGCAAACTTTCATTTTCACCCTTAGTGCAGAATACCTTTCTCTTTAGATCCTCGCTGGCCTGGATCTTTCATTTCCCTTCTGATGTAGGTCATTGATCTTGCCTCTATCGATAAAGACAATTTTCCCTTTCTAGCTATAGCAGCAGCTCCAATCGCACAATCAAGGAGCTATCCAGAGGGAAGGCAGGATTGATCCTGCTCATAGGACTGGTCGTCTCAGTGTGGTGCAGAGCAAGGCAGTCGCTGCTCCCCCATTGCGTTCCCTTCCCTGGCTGTTGTCCGAGCAGGGCGAGAAGCTGCTGGCAGCGAAGGAGCGTTCAGCTCTGGGCTATACTGGCCACAACAACACACCAACGGTAAGAGAGATGAGAATTTGCCCTCATGCAAATTCATCTGAGATATATCTACATTGGAAGATAGAGATATAAAACGTATCGACACAGAATTAATACAGACCCGTATCCTTTGGTCCAGCTTAGGATGCGTTTTGGTCCTAAAGAGGAGCCGGCTTCCATCCCATTTCCTGGCAAGAAGAGCCTAAAAATGTGGTTTGATTTCAACCAGTCTGTCTTCTGCATGAAGAAAATCCATTTTGCCTCTTGCCTCTCTTTTCCAAGTGATGGCAGTCACTTCAGTGGCTGCTCTTGTACCAGCTACAGGCAGCAAATTCAGGCCAGCCAACTGTAGCCGGAGCTCGTACCGAACCGTTTGGGCAGGGTTTGCTGCCGTGGCTCCTGCTCGAGCCGAGGGAGGCAGGTCGCAGGCTGGCTGCCTGGAGGGAGCTCAGCTGAATTTTGATCTGCTTTATGGAGGTGTGCAATAAATAATTAACTTCCAAACGATAGTTTTATCATCTGCGCAGCTGGATCGGAGCAGGTCTAGGAGTGTTATGGGCAAACCGCTGAGCCGCAAACTTTGTGTTAAAAATCCTAGGTCACACATTCACAAAAGGTATGATAGTAAGTTGGTTTGAAAGGACCATGTTCCTTTTCTAGCAGGAAGAATGTTAATGTTATTAGCTCGGGAAATAGATTTCCCCCCCTCCCCCCC